TCTACTTATGAAAGTCAAACCTTAAATCACATTAAAACCTACATATGAAAGTTTACTTCAGATCAATTCTTTTCTCCCCCTGACTTACATCACAAAGAATGTTTCTTTTATCACACTTTAAATAGGAATGCTCATATAATTTTTTTTTATTATTATTTTTTCATCTTAAGTGCAGACTTCTTTTCATTAAGCGACTAACCTAACCCCTGTAACGAGCTTTAGGCTGGTTAACCCAAGTCAGATGATCATAGGCACCAGGTTATGAGAAACCATGCAAGCTTAATAACTTAAGTCAAGTAAGCTTCGAAAAGGAGCATAAAGATATAGAGCCCCGGTAAATAACCATTTTCAATCATATAGTGATTCACCCTACTAACATGTGACAACTATCCCAAATCTCACACACGCGGTAGAGTTCCACTAGTAAAGTCATAGTGTGTGCAGTGCATAAGTTATATGAAGATACCTATATTAAATCCTCTATGAGCAACTTAAGCAGACAATGGATATTATGGTATAGCTCACCAATAAACTCATACTTGAGTAATAACAACAAACTCAAGTGTATATTCACTTGCTGAATAACCAATTGCCATATCAAATAGTGTTTGTGCCCATAATTTTTTTTGTCAAACTTAACCTAAGACAAAATAAAATAAAAAATAAAATAAAATAAAATAAAATAATAAAAAAACGTTTTTGGTTGTTGTATAAATGAAATAAATGCTCCAAGCACACAGAGCATGAAAAATTCAAACAAAACACAAAGCATAAAATGAATGAGAATAAGAAAATAAATATGATGCATGCATATCATAATATCAGTCAGTAGAAGCATACTTGTATGCATCAAATAACCTCAATCAGTGAGGAATGAGGAATACAAATATCAATAGCTGTACGAAGAGACGTAAATCGAAGACCATCCAATGGTTTAGTAAATAAATCAGCTAATTGGTGTTCAGTAGAAATATGTTCAAAAGTCATAATTCGAGTTTCCACAAGCTCCCGAATAAAAGATGTTTGATGTCGATGTGTTTAGTTCGAGAGTGTTGAACCGGATTTTTAGAAATATTAATCGCATTGTGTTATCACAAAATACAGTCATAGTACCTTGTTCAATCCCATAATCACTCAACATCTGCTTCATCCAAAGCAGTTGAGTGCAACAACTTCCAGCAGCAATGTATTTGGCCTCGGTTATGGACAATGAGATAGAATTTTGTTTCTTACTCATCCAAGCCATGAGGTTAGCACCAATATAAAAACAAACACCCGAGGTACTTTTTCTATCATCGGCATGACCAGCCCGATGGGGATCAAAATAACCAGCAAGATCAAGAGTAGAATCCTAGAGTACAAAATGCCTTAATCAACAGTACCATTGACATATCTAATAATACGTCGCACAACAATTAGGTGTAACTCCTTAGGATCAGCTTGAAAATGATCACAGACCCCTACACTAAATGCAATGTCAATTCTACTAGCAGTAAGATAAAGCAGGCTACCTATCATGCTCTTATATAGTGTTTGATCAATACTCTTACATGTAGGATCTAGACCAAACTTGATACTGGTGCTCATAGGGGTCCTAGTGTGTTTCTTACTGTCCAATCCAAATCGATTGACAAGACTCTTAGCATATTTCAATTGTGATATGAATAACACATCATCAGTTTGCTTGACTTGAAGACCAAGAAAATATGTGAATTCACCAATCATGCTCATCTCAAATTTTTGCTTCATACACTCTACAAACTCATGAACTAGGGAATCAATAGGAGAACTAAAGATGATGTCATCCACATAGATCTGAGCTATGATA